CGACAAAGCCTATTCCCCCTCAGGAGACCGAAAATATTTGGCATGGGTCCTCAGATCCTCAAAAAGTTATAAAGCTGCACCATCGAGAGCATCCTGACTGGTTGCATCACCGCCTGGTATGGCAACTGCTCGGCCTCCGACCGCAAGCCACTACAGAGGGTAGTGCGTACGGCCCAGTACATCACTGGGGCCAAGCTTCCTGCCATCCAGGACCTCTATACCAGGCGGTGTCAGAGGAATTGTGAAAGACTCCAGCCACCCTAGTCATAGACTGTTCTCTCTGCTACCGCACGGCAAGCAGTACCGGAGCGCCAAGTCTAGGTCCAAAAGGCTTCTCAACAGCTTCTACCCCCAAGCCATAAGACTCCTGAACAGCTAATCATGGCTACCCGGACTATTTGCACCCCCACCCCATTTTTTTACGCTGCTGCTACTCTGTTAATTATTTATGCATTGTTGTTTTGTTTTTTTACATTGTTTGCAAACTGGTATGTGGCACGTATTCATGCCAAATAACATGCAAAACAGGCATCCCAAATTATTATTATTTTAGCTAGAAAGGCGGGGCTCAAAAAAGGTGGGGCTCTTCCCTGTATGTCGGGTCGCCACTGAGAACGTCCAAATAATCTCTGTGGCTAGGCAGGTGGTGTTATCGCCCGAGTCCAGAACCTTTGTACTCCTCCACACATCTCCCGGTCTTCTTATCAGTAGGGAGTATACATTCTGGCACCTTGCCTCAGTCCATTGTTAATTATCCAGACTCATACACAAACAGCTATTTGAGAATAAGCAACCCATTCCTACTCAAGTGAATATCACGATGCAAAACAGAGATAATACAATGATATAAAACAGTGAAGCTATAACATATAGAGATAATATTATTATATAAAACAGTGAAGCTATAACATATAGAGATAATATTATGATATAAAACAGTGAAGCTATAACATATTGAGATAATATTATGATATAAAACAGTGAAGCTATAACAGAGATAATATTATGATATAAAACAGTGAAGCTATAACATAGAGATAATATTATGGTATAAAACAGTGAAGCTATAACATATTGAGATAATCTAATGATATAAAACAGTGAAGCTTTAATACAGTGCTATAGGGCAATAGTTCACTATCTATAGTATTAGCTCTATCACATGACTCCGATCTCACCCTTATGGAAACATTCTGTCTCAGAGACAGGCCCCTTATGTGCTTTGCCTCTGACCACAAATACATTTGCACATAGATCATTCCACCTAACCCATAACACGTTAATCACTACTGCTAGGCCACTTATATAGTTATAAACATACTAAAACGTGCTCAAGTCAATTAGTCACTCGCATGTTCCATGGCAACTAGAATACATATTGACTTGAACAGGGAAGAGAGAAAATACATGTTTAATAATTTCACCCCCCCCCTTGATGAGAACGAGATTGGGGCAAGGACCACAAAGCCCCTAATATCAACGTCCCAATTATGGTTAGTCCAAGTTACAATCTAGGGGGTTTTCTGATGACCTCCCTCTCGGAGGACACGGAAAGATAAGGTTTCCCTGGGAGGAACCCTCCCTGGATTCACTGGATTCTCACAAATATTGAATTATTTTCAGAAACCACCAGCAGGATGAGCAGTGCACCCTCCCCTCACTTTGTGCTCTCCTCACAGTTTAGGGGCAACGCACTCTGTCTCTCCTTCTCTCCTTTCCCAATCATAATTAGAACTATTGATAAGTTATTTAGAATGACAGTCCTTAGTGCTTCACGTTGAGTCTATCACAAGGCCCTCAACTTAGCACACCACCGACACTGGCAGAATGTACATATTACATACGGGAAATATATATATACAGTATGTATTACTAAACATTGACATACATTATATTCATCTTATATTCCCAGCATTAACTTTTCTCAGCACGGCCCCTGTTTGTCCCTGTCTTACACTGCCACGAGTTGCATGTTAATGACAGATCGGTATCTCAATGCATTTTTTGTCTAAATTACTATACATTTCCCAGTGTGTAGACCTCGACAATCAACCTGATACCCAAAAATAAAACATTTAGGGCAACCCTAACTCAATTACGGACACGGTTGACCCCTCCTTCCCGGCACTCGTTCTTCTGCCGTCTCTTCTACTTCATCCTCCCCATGGCACACATGTAACTAACGCCTGTCAAAGTGGATGGCCCTTGATAATGTCCCGATTTTCAATATCTGGGGAAATAATCTGATTTCCCCCAAGCAGACGAATGTCTCACCTGAGCCGCCACAACCCTTTTACGGTCCATTCCGTCTTGTCCATTTTACGACCAGTACACCACTCTCCATGCTCACGCCACCACTTCTTTCACTCCTGAGAGAAAAGGCAGTTGATAGCTTCGACTGGTTGCTGGCTCGGACTCAGGTCTCAGGTAGAAGTGGTGAAGGACCATAGTGAACGCCATTGTCGCCATTACTTCGGCCGGTTAGAGGGGGTGAGGCTCACACTGTTCTCGGTCGAATGATCCCTTCCTTGCATCTAGATACCATCTGGAGTCACTATCGCCATAACCTCGAGAGAGGACAGACCAGAACGACAGTTTAGGGTATTTCTGATTCAGGATATCCAGACAAACTATTCACTGTATGACAATTATTACACTTCCAATATTCTTCATAAACATTTCTAAAACAAATGTCAAAGAGAATAACAACACATGTTGAAACCATTTTGCAAATTGGCGTATACTCCCCTATCATATTGGCGACCTCACCGCAGAGTTTCAGGGTCAGGGAGTTAGAGGACGAACCCTTAGGGAAACATCCCACCATACAGCAACCCAATCTGGTGAGATTTGTATTGAAGCAAGACAAAAACAAAACAAAAACAAACAACAATACACTTCTTCCTATTTACCAGCATTTACATATTATATTTAAATCTCACCCAATGTCTCTATCCTTTCTGGCGAGGGTGATCAGGCCTCACCAGAAAGTCAGAACAGCGGTCAGATGTCATTCAACACTATTAAGTGAGTCTGTTCTTTCCATGTACTTCAGACTCATTATTTAAAGACATTCTGTGTACCAGGTTTATATTGGGTTTTTCAGTACATTTCTTTCCCCCTTTCCCCCCCCCCCGATTTCATCATATCCAATTGGTAGTTACAGTATTGTCCCATCGCTGCAACTCCCGTACGGACTCGCTAGAGGCGAAGGTTGAGAGCCATGCGTCCTCCGAAACACAACCCGGCCAAGCCGCACTGCTTCTTGACACAATGCACGCTTCACCCGGAAGCCAGCCGCACCAATGTGTCGGAGGAAACACCGTACACCTGGCGACCGTGTCAGCGTGCACTGCGCCCGGTCCGCCACAGGAGTCGCTAGAGTGCAATGGGACAAGGACATTCCGGCCAGCCAAACCCTCCTGACACTGGGCCAATTGTGCATCGCCTCATGGGTCTACCGGTCGCGGCCCGGTATCGAACCAGGATCTGTAGTAACGCAGCTAGCTCTGCAATGCAGTGCCTTAGACCGCTGCGCTACTCGGGAGGCCTCAGTTCATTTCTTATCAGGAGAACTTACATATGTGCAACCAGAATTCGGACAATAGCTACTTCAGAAAAATAAATGTATGTGCCCTTTAAGGTACATCCTCTCTAACCCATGAAGAACTCACTAAAACCAAATTAAAAAGACCCCACACAATAAATCAGACACGGTATTAACACCACTAACTAATATTCATAACAGGTGGGTCGTGTGTGCGTGTGCTGGTGTGTGTGTGGTAAGACGTAGGGCAAAAACAAAACAAAAAAATGGCCAGGCCTTACTGAATTGGGAGCTCCCTTCATGGCTGGATCTGGGTACCTTTATACTTAATAGAACTGCAGAATTTCACTAACTGCTCTCCCAAGGCAACAGCCTCGGGGGAACATTTCAAAGGGAGAGATAAGGACACACCATCCTCTCCTAAAAGAGAAAATAAACATTGTTCGTTTTCACTTTGCTAAGCCTTAATCAGCAACAAAAAGGTTTTAATTACAGATTTAACAAAACATGATAACTTCTGTTCACAGGGAGGCCAATGTCCACCCTCCACTCATTAATCGTTTGTGTTTTAATCCATCCCAACATTTACTGCATATACTATCACCAATCTCCATTGGATATTCAATATTAATATGATATTCACTAATATTCTATTCGGACAACATATTTGGTAAATTACTTTCTTTATTTTCTAATACAGGGGTTTAGATATTCACAAATTCATCCTTCACACTAATATTCTATTCGGACAACATATTTGGTCAATTACATTCTTTCTTTTCTAATACAGGGGTTTAGATATTCACAAAATCATCCTTCACACTAATATTCTATTCGGACAACATATTTGGTAAATTACATTCTCTCCTTTGCTATTTTCACACACCACCTCACTATTTTCCTATATTTAATTCACACATAACTTGCTTCGGTATTCACACAGAATCCCTATACAACGTTATCAATCGAAGTCCACACAGAACTTCGTGCAGTTCACACATTCAGACAGAATCCCTATACAACGTTATCAATCGAAGTCCACACAGAACTTCATGCAGTTCACACATTCAGACAGAATCCCTATACAACGTTATCAATCGAAGTCCACACAGAACTCCGTGCAGTTCCCTGAACTACTTAAGCTATTCCCAGAATGCCTATATAAACGGGACTTCGTTCAGTTCACACAGAACTTTCTTAGATATTCACATCCACACCACCAGCAATGATCAGCACAGCGCAGTCAGCCTGAGAGGTACCAGGTGATCATGTTCTTGATATAATCTGTGTCCGGGGGGCATCAATGAACATATTTCCCTATTCTAAACGAAGTTCGCAGAACATTCATGTCGTTCCCTGAACTACTTAGGTATTCTCCCAGAACGCCTATATAACCCTTGCTTAGGTATTCTCCCAGAACCCCTATATAACGTTATCAATCAGTCCACACAGAACTAAGAACAGTTCACACAGAACTAAGAACAGTCCACACAGAACTAAGAACAGTTCACACAGAACTAAGAACAGTCCACACAGAACTAAGAACAGTTCACACAGAACTAAGAACAGTCCACACAGAACTAAGAACAGTTCACACAGAACTAAGAACAGTCCACACAGAACTAAGAACAGTCCACACAGAACTAAGAACAGTTCACACAGAACTAAGAACAGTTCACACAGAACTAAGAACAGTCCACACAGAACTAAGAACAGTCCACACAGAACTAAGAACAGTCCACACAGAACTAAGAACAGTTCACACAGAACTAAGAACAGTCCACACAGAACTAAGAACAGTCCACACAGAACTAAGAACAGTCCACACAGAACTAAGAACGGTTCACACAGAACTAAGAACAGTCCACACAGAACTAAGAACAGTTCACACAGAACTAAGAACAGTCCACACAGAACTAAGAACAGTCCACACAGAACTAAGAACAGTCCACACAGAACTAAGAACAGTCCACACAGAACTAAGAACAGTCCACACAGAACTAAGAACAGTTCACACAGAACTAAGAACAGTCCACACAGAACTAAGAACAGTCCACACAGAACTAAGAACAGTCCACACAGAACTAAGAACAGTTCCACACAGACAACTAAGAACAGTCCACACAGAACTAAGAACATCCACACAGAACTAAGAACAGTTCCACACAGAACTAAGAACAGTTCACACAGAACTAGAACAGTCCACACAGAACTAAGAACAGTCCCGACACACAGAACTAAGAACAGTCCACACAGAACTAAGAACAGTCCACACAGAACTAAGAACAGTCACACAGAACTAAGAACAGTCCACACAGAACTAAGAACAGTCCACACAGAACTAAGAACAGTCCACACGAACTAAGAACAGTCCACACAGAACTAAGAACAGTCCACACAGAACTAAGAACAGTCCACACAGAACTAAGAACAGTCCACACAGAACTAAGAACAGTCCACACAGAACTAAGAACAGTCCACACAGAACTAAGAACAGTCCACACAGAACTAAGAACAGTTCACACAGAACTAAGAACAGTTCACACAGAACTAAGAACAGTTCACACAGAACTAAGAACAGTTCACACAGAACTAAGAACAGTCCACACAGAACTAAGAACAGTCCACACAGAACTAAGAACAGTCCACACAGAACTAAGAACAGTTCACACAGAACTAAGAACAGTCCACACAGAACTAAGAACAGTCCACACAGAACTAAGAACAGTTCACACAGAACTAAGAACAGTCCACACAGAACTAAGAACAGTTCACACAGAACTTGTTTAGGCATTCACAAAGACACGCACACACATATTCCCTTCCTAATTACTATTACCATATGCTAACTATTCCATAGTTTAAGAGCATTCACACAGAACACTAGACTACGTTATTAAATTCAGTTCACACAGAATGCCTATATAACGTTATAAACGATGTTCCTCCGAACTCGCCCAGTTCACACAGAATTTGGATCCTTTCTAAAACAATGTATTACTTCAATTAAGTTGACTTACTGAAATCAGTTGAACCGTCCTTCAAGGTGTCGTTGATGCTGTGTTTCTCCCCAGGTGTGTCCCGCAGTGGAGGTCTGTTAGGGACGGATCCTCGTCCTTTTTTAGGGAGATGGAAATGTCCCTTTACGCCTTCCCAAAGAATGCGCCGCCGGCGTTCCCTCGCAGACCTTTACTGCTGGATCACACCGAGAAGATCAATCACCTGTTCGTGACGCCAGAACTGTTGTGGAAATTCAACACTAAAGGACTCAAACTCAAAGTAAATGAATCAATCTTTATTTAACACGCTGAGAGGTTCACAAACTCAACACAAGCTTGATGAAAATTCTGAAAGGGGCGTTCCCTTTCAGTCCTTATATACTGCTACACAGACAAGTTATATAAGCATGATTTACATTATTCATTATTAACGTTGGTTCCTGCATGTGACTGACTGATACCTCACGAGGCTTCATCTCTCAAAGCTGAGACCTTGTATCGCCTATCTAGTCCCAGAACAATGTTCTGCCAAATTGCTTATGAGTGATAGTGTGGGTTTACTCCTTCAACCAGTCACTCGCATGAACCCAACCAAGACAGCTTATTACAAAGCAGCATCGTGCTAAACACATGTTCACATACACACAAGAAAATGTCCATCACAGGAACAAGGTTTTGAAGTGTCTCTCCTATATCTAGGAGATATAAGAAAACCATGTTTGGTCACATTATCCTTTGAGACATTTTACACTATGCACTGGTACTGCATTATCTTCAGACGACTCCCCTGAAGCTCGTGTGCATTGTAGAGCAGGAAAACGGACACCTTTCGCCTTCGTGACAGTTGGCGACATCGGCGACACATTGGCTTATAGCGCCAACAGTTCAGTCTGGACAGTCGGTTTTGTGAGAATACCTCTTCGAAACGAAGTAGTTCAGAGGACTGCCGTGACGCTTGTGTCGTAGAGCCAAACAAAATCTCCCCTTTCCATATTGGTAACATATTAGTTTATAGCTCACACGGTTTGGGTTTTACAGATGATTCCGTGATGATTTTCTTGTCCGGATCCTCTCATGTGTAGAAAAAGGTCTCTTTCACAAGCCTCATGTTATGGAATAAGCGAAAAAGAGGGGATTGAGCTGCAGCCACTACAATATGGTATTAAATTATATAACCTCTAGCATACACACACACACAGAGAGCTATTCAATATTCAACATGACGTCACTGTGTGACGCACAGCAGCATCAATTGACTCTAGGGGGTTTTAAAAAGGGGCAATCTGTGATTGGTACATCCATTTTTGGACTTTGGACAGTCACAACCCACCAGAACACAAAATAAATCTGAACCTAAAATGCAAAGCATGTTTTAATCTATTGTTTGTAAACAATGTAAATTGCTAACAAACACTGTATAGCCTCATAACATGGTTAAAACTATTATATGGGTGATCAGTCCTGGCATCCAAAGATCTGTCTGAATATGAGAGTTTACATTTCTCCAACCTCAGTTGTTTACCAAAACAGTGGCAGGCTTCCCACTTTGTTCTTGTTTTAACTGCAGAGGGGTACACTACAAAGCAGGGTCAATGAGCCAGATAACTTTGATAAGCAACCAGAAATAACTATTGATTTTCTGATTCACTAAGAAATCTACACTCACACATACGTATTTCGGTTGTTGAGGCAATAAGACCACGCCCATTTGGTGCTCATCTTTCTCAAAATAAAAGTTATTTCTGAATATTTTGTCATCTGGCGGAGGTTCAGTCAAGCTAGTCGTCTTCACTACTTTCTCATGGCATTCTCGTTGGCACCAAAAGTTTAAAAAAGTGTTGCTAGGGGACAGAATGCGGTCGGACCATCAAATAATTAGCATATACATTCCTCTTACAGAATTTCCACGTGGGCGAGGATATTGGAAATGTAACCAAAGCCTATTGGATGATAACTTGTTTTTAACTAGGACAGAATAATTTATAACTGACTTTTACGACATAACATAGTTACAGCAGATCCCCTTATTGCATGGGACACTTTCAAATGTGCCTTTAGAGGCCATGCAATTCAATACTCATCTCTAAAACAAAAACATTTTTAGAACAAAAGAGTCCATATTAATAAAGGAAATGGAAGGACTAACAGAACAGATAGATAGCAATAAAAACGGTACTATAGAGGCACAGAATAAGTTAGAGGAAAAACTAAAAGAAAGTGAGAAACTCATTCAAGAAAGATCAAGTGTTATATACTATAAAATAAAGCCAACTGGACGGAATATGGGGGAAAAAAAATTAACCAAATAATTTTTAATCTTCAACATAGAAATGCTACCAAAAATTATTTACTGAAACTAGTTACAAATGACAGAGTCAACCATGATTCACTAAAAAATATTTTGAAAGAAGAAGCAAAGTACTTTAAGCATATGTTTTCGTTTCAGTCTCCTTCGTCTCGACTAACCGATGTTAATTGTATGGATTTTTTTTCTGTTAATAAATGTAAAATTAACACCTGTACAGAAAGACTCGTGTGAATGCCAAATTACAGAAGAGGAACTTCTTGATGCAATTAAAGCCTTTAAGTCCGGTAAAACTCCAGGGTTGGATGGCATACTAGTCGAGGTATATCAAACATTTTTTGAGATACTCAGAGGACCGTTATTAGCATGTTTTAACCACTCCTTTAAAAATAGTAGATTATCAGATACTCAACAAGAAGGTCTGATTTCATTATTACTGAAACAGGACCCAAGTGGTAAATATAAGGATCCAGTCCATTAAAATAAATTGGAGGCCCCTTACACTTCAGTGTCGTGATGTGAAAATTCTAGCAAAATGTATAGCGCATAGAATTAAAAAAGGTATTGTCGGACATTATTCAATCTAATCAGACAGGTTTTTTACATGGACGATACATTGGAGATAATATAAGGCAAGTACTGGAAACAATAGAACACTATGAAAAATCTGGGAAACCAGGCCTAGTATTGATAACTGACTTTGAAAAGGCTTTTGATGGAATATTTCAATTTTGGAGAATCTCTTATAAAATGGGTTAAAGTTACACTACCGTTCAAAAGTTTGGGGTCACTTAGAAATGTCCTTGTTTTCAAAAGAAAAGCAATTTTTGGGGTCATTAAAATAACATCAAATTGATCAGAAATACAGTGTAGACATTGTTAATGTTGTAAATGGCTATTGTAGCTGGAAACGGCAGATTTTTAATGGAATATCTACATAGGCGTTCAGAGGCCCATTATCAGCAACCATCAGTCCTGTGTTCCAATGGCACGTTGTGTTTGCTAATCCAAGTTTATCATTTTAAAAGGCTAACTGATCATTAGAAAACCTTTTTGCAATTATGTTAGCACAGCTGAAAACTGTTGTGCTGATTAAAGAAGCAATAACACTGGCATTCTTGAGACTAGTTGAGTATCTGGAGCATCAGCAATTGTGGGTTCGATTACAGGCTCAAAATGGCCAGAAACAAATAACTTTCTTCTGAAACCCGTCAGTCTATTCTTGTTCTGAGAAATGAAGGTTATTCCATGCGAGAAATTGCCAAGAAACTGAAGATCTCGAACAACGCTGTGTACTACTCCCTTCACAGAACAGTGCAAACTGGCTCTAACCAGAATAGAAGGAGGAGTGGGAGGCCCCGGTGCACAACTGAGCAAGAGGACAAATACATTAGTGTCTAGTTTGAGAAACAGACGCCTCACAGGTCCTCAACTGGCAGCTTCATTAAATAGTATCTGCAAAACACCAGTCTCAACGTCAACAGTGAAGAGGCGACTCAGGGATGCTGACCTAGGCAAAGTTGCAAAGAAAAAGCCATATCTCAGACTGGCCAATAAAAATAAAAGTTTAAGATGGCCAAAAGAACACAGACACTGGACAGAGGAAGATTGGAAAAAAGTTATGGACAGACGAATCGAAGTTTGAGGTGTTCGGATCACAAAGAACAACATTTGTAAGACGCAGACCAAAAGATGCTGGAGGAGTGCTTGATGCCACCTGTCAAGCATGGTGGAGGCAATGTGATGGTCTGGGGGTGCTTTGGTGGTGGTAAAAGGGATCTTGTACAGGGTACAGGGTAAAAGGGATCTTGAAGAAGGAAGGCTATCCCTCCATTTTGCAGCGCCATGCCATTCCCTGTGGATGGCGCTTGATTGGAGCCAATTTCCTCCTACAACAGGACAATGACCCAAATAACAGCTCCAAACTATGCAATAACTATTTAGGGAAGAAGCAGTCAGCTGGTATTCTGTCTATAATGGAGTGGCCAGCACAGTCACCGGATCTCAACCCTATTGAGCTGTTGTGGGAGCAGCTTGACCGTATGGTACGTAAGAAGTGCCCATCAAGCCAATCCAACTTGTGGGAGGTGCTTCAGGAAGCATGGGGTGAAATCTCTTCAGATTACCTCAACAAATTGACAATTAGAATGCCAAAGGTCTGCAAGGCTGTAATTGCTGCAAATTGAGGATTATTTGACGAAAGCTAAGTTTGAAGGACACAATAATTATTTCAATTAAAAATCATTATTTCTAACCTTGTCAATGACTACATTTCCTATTCATTTTGCTATATTTCCTATTCAAACTCATTTCATGTATGTTTTCATGGAAAACAAGGACATTTCTAAGTGACCCCAAACTTCTGAACGGTAATGTGTGTGTGTGTGTATATATATATAAATAAATAAATGGGGGATTGGAAATGCAGACAATTATTGATGGAAGCTAAATTTATTAGTTAAATAAAGGTTTTAAATAATAATAATAATAATAATAATAATAATAATAATAATAATAATAATAATAATAAGCAATATTAAAGCTGATCTACCCCCACCAAAACATTTCAAATAAATTAATTCACTGGCTAACTTGCCAAATCTTGAATTGTAGTTTACACCTCCGATTGCCCCTTTAATTAACAAAGTAGCAACAGGGACATAGATAGATTAGATCATTAGCGTGACATTGGACTGAGCAGGATAAGGAGGACCAGTTAGAGTCCACAGGTGATCTTGGGTGTATCTCAATACTCTTTGTCCACTCTCTGGGTGTATCTCAATACTCTTAGTCTCTCTATCCTAATTTCCTTTCTTTGTTCCTTCATCTTCTCTTTCTTTGTGGTTGTTTTTGACATGCCTCAACAGATTAGTCTTCTGAATGAATCTTTTACCACAAACTGAGCAGCCATGTTGTTTCTCTCCTGTGTGAGTCAGTATATGCTTGGTTAGGCTATTCTTGAGACTGAAGCTTTTCCCACAGTCACTACAGCTAAATGGTTTCTCTCCTGTGTGAGTCAGTATATGCTTATTCAAATCTCCCTTATGACTAAAGCTTTTCTCACAGTCACTACAGCTAAATGGTTTCTCTCCTGTGTGAGTTCGTATATGCATGGTTAAGTGTCCCTTCTGACTGAAGCTTTTCCCACAGTCACCACAGCTAAATGATTTCTCTCCTGTGTGAGTTCGCACATGCATGGTTAAGTGTCCCTTCTGACTGAAGCTTTTCCCACAGTCACCACAGCTAAATGGTTTCTCTCCTGTATGAGTTCGTATATGCTTGGTTAAGAGTTTCTTCTGACTGAATCTTTTCCCACAGTCACCACAGCTAAATGGTTTCTCTCCTGTGTGAGTAAGTATATGATTGGTTAGGGTATGCTTGAGACTGAAGCTCTTCCCACAGTCACCACAGCTAAATGGTTTCTCTCTGGTGTGAGTCCGTATATGCATGGTTAGGTTATACCTCAAAAAGAAGCTTTTGCCACAGTCACCACAGCTAAATGGTTTCTCTCCTGTGTGAGTCAGTTTATGCCTGGTAAGATGCTTCTTGATACTGAAGCTTTTCCCACAGTCACAGCAGCTGTGAGTTGTTTTAGACGTGGTGCTGGGTTTGGAATGGTGTTCCCCCAATGTTAAACTGGGATCCAATAGTGGACTGCTGTCAAGTCCTACTGGGTCGCTGCTTACGGCTGAGCGGTGGCTGGAGGCATTGTTTTGATTATCTGGAGGGTCACAGGGAATGTAGAGACCCTTTAGGTGGGTCCCAGTGCCAAAAGGTTTGAGATCCACTGGTTTAGAGTCACTCTCTCTGTTCTCCACAGTCTGGGTTTGGGGAAGAGTCAATGACTGAAGTGGGTCCTCCTGATCACATTCACTTTTCACACAGGAAGGAGTGAATATGGAGTCTTTGGTATCAGCCTCCAGCCCTTGAAGCTGCTCTTCCTCCTGACTGATCCAGAGTTCCTCCTGTTCCTCTTTAATCTGTGTGGCCTCTGGGTCCTCCTGCCCCAGACTGGGGCTCCACTCCTGCTCACAGTGCTGCTGCTCAGGGGGAACCTCCTCTTCAGAGACAGAGAGCTGCATGGAGTCTGGAGGGAAGGAGAGGAGGAGCAGAGGTTACCAATACACTCTTTAGACATGCCTGAGTGCACAATAATATTTCAAATGTTTAGCTAATGGAACCTCGAGAAGGAACACAAATAAACAGTCTCAAAGCTGTGTTACACAAAAATCTCTGTGGAAATGTGTGGTAAAACAGCTAAGGAGTGAATATGGAGTCTTTGGTATCAGTATCTTTTGTATTTGTAAAGTTATTTTGGATGATAATTACGTTGAGTGTTCAAGGTTTCCAAAACCGTATCACAATCAAGGATCAATTGTTTCTAGATAAAACTTTTCACAATTGACCAAATCATCGTCCTCAGCTAATCAAAATGGACGTTGAATAACTCCACTGTCTCATTGTAGTCAGAAGGCCAACATAAGGACCAACTTTATGGAAGATCTGAGTAAATTCTAATATAATTGTATTCAACATTCGTCAATGGAAAAATGTGTGACGCTGCTGTCCAAGTAAGGGAAAGCATTGGCACGTCGTCAGTGCTACTTTTATCCATTCACAGTAAAAAACAACTTCTTCAAATTGTTGATCATTGAAAGCCTAAACAGTTTATTGAGTAGATCTGCAGCTACAGTTTCAGTATATCTAAATACGAACCTATTCGACATAATTGTATTTCCGGTGTGATCCGCAGCAGTCTCCGTAGCAGATCATTCTCCTCCTGGTACTCCAATACTGTTTTCTCAACTGCACTGAAAATCTCAATCGCAGCAGATGCCGTTAAACGCTCATTTAAAAACACACGCAACAACTGTAGTTTAGACATTTTCAGTGGACTGAGAGTTGGGTATTCAGCTAGTATGGCTTCGTGAAGTGGGTCCTCCTGATCACATTCAATTTTCACACAGGAAGGAGTGAATATGGAGTCTTTGGTATCAAAGAGCCCTTGAAGCTGCTCTTCCTCCTGACTGGTCCTGAGTTCCTCCTGTTCCTCTTTAATCTGTGTGGGCTCTGGGTCCTCCTGCCCCAGACTGGGGCTCCACTCCTGCTCACAGTGCTGCTGCTCAGGGGGAACCTCCTCTTCAGAGACAGAGAGCTGCATGGAGTCTGGATGGAAGGAGCAGAGGTTATCTATATAGCACAGAATTAAATAGAACACTTAAATCATTTTTTTTACATTTTAGTCATTTAGCAGACGCTCTTATCCAGAGCGACTTGCAGTTAAGTGAGTGCATACATTTTTCATACTGGCCCCCCGTGGGAATCGAACCCACAACCCTGGCGATGCAAGCCACACCAACTGAGCTACAGGAGGGACTATCATCCACGTGATCTATAGATCTCTGATCTATTTAGCCAAGCAGGCTCAAACCTCCAGCGGCTTAGTTAAAGCTTGTGCCTGAGGTTGAGCAGAGGTTCCATTGTCAATAAAAGGTAAAACAACTATCAACCAGTCATACTTGGCGATACTTCCTTCATCCTAGATTTGGAAGGCAACAGTGTCTTAAAAACGTCTGTTACACCATGTTAGCTGCAGCATCAGAAGGAGACGACAGCATCAGTCAGCGCGACCCAAACATTTACACACATGGGAGAGGACGTTTTTCACTTGACACAAGTGATTAAGGGGGTTCGATTAAGATGGCCTGGCTGAGCGGACTTTGCACAGTGTGAAAAGCGACTGCATTTGTTTTAGAACCGGGCTGCCTCCTGGTCAACGGCGAAGTCTTCACAAAACAAGTGACGTAGAGCGGGTGGATTAAAGCAGAGTCTAAAGCTGCGGAGCCCATTGTGACACACGTTCGTGGGTGACGCACAGCCAGTGGTGTAGTGGAACAGATCAGAATGTTTAGCTTAAAATGTTGATAAACATAAATGATTCTCTTCGCATTTTAAGGGGCAGCACAGCGGTAGGCCTACGAAAAATATATAGCGATGGGCCTAACCGTCTTCTGGTAGATTGGAAGGTGTTCCCAAAATAAATGTAAACTAGCTACAAAGTAGCCTACGTCTACCTGGCAGAATGATATAATGATTATTTGCATCAATCCAGTGTTAAGCAAACTGTAGCTCATGTGCTGCAGACACAGCACTAACAGTGCTAGGTACACAGTTGAATTAAAACTACACTAAAAAAAAAATCTATACACAGTGCATTCGTATTCAGACCCATTGACTTCTTCCACATTTTGTTACGTTAGCCTTTTTTCTAAAATTGATTAAATAATGTTCCTCAATCTACACACAATACCCCATGACAAAGCGAAAACACTTTTCTAGAAATGTTGGCAAATGTATAAAATAAATGGAAATAGCTTATTTACATAAGTATTCAGACCCTTTGCTATGAGACTGGAAATTGAGCCCAGGTGCATCCTGTTTCCATTGATCATCCTTGAGATGTTTCTACAACTTGATTGGAGTCCACCAGTGGTAAATATATATAGTCCCACAGTTGACAATACAATAGCAAAAACCAAGCCATGAGGTCGAAGGAATTGTCCGTAGAGCGCCGGGACAGGATTGTGTCGAGGCACAGATCTGGGGAAGGGTACCAAACCTTTTTTTGCTGCATTGAAGATCCCCAAGAACACGGTGGCCTCCATCATTCTTCAATGGAAGATGTTTGGAACCACCAAGACTCTTCCTAGAGCTGGCCGCCCGGCCAAACTGAGCAATCGGGGGAGAAGGGCCTTTGTCAGGGAGGTGACCACGAACCTGATGGTCACACTGACAGCGCTTCAGAGTTCCTCTGTGGAGATGGGAGAACCTTCCAGAAGGACAACCATCTCTGCAGCACTCCACCAATCAGGCTTTTATGGAAGTGGCCAGTAAAAGGCACATGACAGACCGCTTGGCGTTTGCCAAAAGGCACCTAAAGACTCTCAGACCATAAGAAACAAGACTATCTGGTCTGATGAAACCAAGACTCAACTCTTTGGCCTGAATGCCAAGCGTCACGTCTGGAGGAAACCTGGCACCATCCCTACGGTGAAGGCTCGTGGTGGCAGGATCATGCTGTGGGGATGTTTTTCAGCAGCAGGGACTGGGAGACTAGTCAGGATTGAGGGAAAGATGAATGGAGCAAAGAGAGATCCTTGATGAAAACCTGATCCAGAGCGCTCAGGACCTCAGACTGGGGTGAAGGCTCACCTTCCAACAGGACAATGAACCCTAAGCACACAGCCAAGACAACGCAGGAGTGGCTTCAGGACAAGTCTCTGAATGTCCTTGAGTGGCCCTGCCAGAGCCTGGACTTGAACCCGATCAAACGTCTATGAAGAGACCTGAAAACGGCTGTGCAGCGACGCTCCCCATCCAACCTGACAGAGCTTGAGATGATCTGCAGAGAATAATGGGATAAACTCCCCAAATACAGGTGTGCCAAGCTTGTAGCATCATGCTCAAGAAGCCTCGAGGCTGTAATCACTGCCAAAGGTGCATCAACAAAGTACTGAGTAAAGGGTCAGAATACTTATGTAAATGTAATATTTCCGTTTTGTATTTTCTAAAAACCTGTTTTTTGTCATTTTGATCGTTTCAATAGTAGGCCCACTATTAGCCTACTGCACAGTACCGCTAGGGATTCCCTGACTGAAAGACCAATGTGGGATTAATAATGTTAGGTCATTCAGAGTGTATGGTACAGTTTGTCATATAACTTTCATATACCTTTTCACAAAGGGCGCCATTCCTTGGCCAGGTGGCCGTTTGCGATTTTTACGACCGCGTGGGAACACTAACAGCCCTATAAAGGCCGGTAGTATTTTATCTGATATGAAATATACATTTACAAAACAGTACCGCAAGCGATGCGTGTTAGAGGTTTACAGCAAGAGGGGCTCTTAACAAAACACCCCACGGTCAGAAGATACTATCGTCAATAGGCGTTAAAGCAGTTCGCGTCTATGAATGGGGTAGCTCCAAGTGAACCGGGTTAGCTTTGATTGCATTAGATTTGGAACTGGGCTGCCTCCCGGGCGTGAGCCAGGTGCCGTGTTCTGGCCAACCGCGAAGTCCCCTCAAAACAAAAGTGACGTGGCGTAGGTTAAGCATGTGGAGTAATGAGTAGGATTCTGTGATTGCTTTTTTTTTTTTAATTTTTTTTTTATCCGCCTTCCCAATGAAAACTAGTTTGAAAATTCTAACATTTATTTTATGGAAAATAGTATGTTTCTGAACAATGCACCATTTTAAAAATTGTTGACAACATGAGTGGCGCAGATTACTGTTCTTTTTTTTTAGCAGCCATAGCCTTAAAAAAGGTGCTGCATAGTCAATCCAACGTCTGTGTAAAGGACGTCACGCTGCTTTCATAGCGAGTACCACTTCCTCCCGATTCGGCCCATACCTGGGCTCGAACTCGGGCACAAACACACTTGACCGCAGTCCTCAAGCATCTTAGCCTAGCTAATGAAGCGATGCAAGCGGGACACTTAAGGCTGAGGAGTAAATTGCACACATCCCCCATGTGCTACGTTTGCGTCGGCCTTGCAGCATTTTACGGTGAAAAGGCCTCTGCAGAAGTCAGGGCATTCATACTTCTTGCGCTTCCCAGGCAGAGCTGTTGTGAAGGACGTTGTATTAACACAAACTCACTTCCTTGACAAGACGCTTTTCGTGAAGTCAACCTTTTAATCTATTCATGGTAAAATATACAGTAGATAACTGTTCTTTAAAAGATTAAAATGGTGATCACTGTTTGACTAGAACTATAGCCAGCAAACAGCAAATCTACATATGTACCGATTCTGCATAATTTAATCTCTGGTGTGATCCGCAGCATTCTCCGTAGCCGATCATTCTCCTCCTGATACTCCACTACCGTTTTCTCAACTGCCCCGAAAATCTCCACATCATCCGTCATTAAGCGCTCATTTAAAAACACACAAAACGACTGTAGTTTAGACATTGAGTCTTTTGAGAGATATTCAGCTAGAATGGCTTCATCCACGAAGAAAGAATTGTGTTCACAAACAAAACAAATTATACCAGCGGCTCGTCAACGACACTAAAAAAGTACTTCCGGGTCACGGGATTTCGAAAACGTTCTAAATAAAAAGTCCCCCGTAATACATTTTAGTCATTAACCTGTATTCGTTCATGATATATGAACAATAATTGTCTAAGCATTAACAAGTGATATTTGCATTACATTTGGGTTTCAAAACATGTTCCAAGATGAAATTAATTTCCCCCAATACAATATATGAAATGCATTTTGGTTTATAGAGAGAACTATTCTCGGTGCCAAAGTAAAAGTGGGGTTGGGATTACTCAATAGGGTCTGTAGAATCTATACATCCTTGCATGGTATTCCCCCCCCCCCCCATGGGTACTGAGGTCTATATGCCAGCAACACTTCCTACTCCACCCATGCCATAGCCCCCAAAGCAATAAAGTAAGCCGGAAAATGACATATTGGCTTATAGAGAAAAAAGTATTTGATGTGTCATTTGTCACATGCACCGAATACAACGGGTATTGACCTTACAGTGAAATGCTTAGTTACAAGCCCTTAACCAACAATGCAGTTTTAAGAAAAATAAGTGTTATGTAAAAAATAAAAAATAATTAAAAGAGAAGCAGTAAAATAACAGTAGGGAGGCTATATACAGGGGGTACCGGTACAGAGTCAATGTGCGGGGGCACAGGTTAGTCGAGGTACATGTAGGTAGAGTTAAAGTGACTATGCATAGATAATAAACAGTTGCAGCAGCATAAAAGAGGGGGTGGGGGGAATAACGCAAATAGTCCGGGTAGCCATTTGATTAGCTGTTCAGGAGTCTTATGGCTTGTGGGTAGAAGCTGTTAAAGCCTTTTGGACCTAGACTTGGCACTCCGGTACCGCTAGCCGTGCGGTAGCAGAGAGAACAGTCTATGACTAGGGTGGCTGGAGTCTTTGACAATTTTTAGGGCCTTCCTCTGACACTGCCTGGTATAGAGGTCCTGGATGGCAGGACCTCCATCATCTTAAATAACTGCTCATTATTTGTTCATGGCTCAAATAATAATCTGCTCTGCTTGGTCATATTGTAAACAAAGAAGCATCATGCATCAACATCATGACGTCTATGATTGCTTCATAGACGTCCAAAAATCAATGTCCGTGGAAGTTGAAATCAAGGCGGTCTGGACTGCACCAAAATGAACCAAATATAGATGTCTATGATTGGTTCAGATTTACTCCAGATCAGACCTAAAACCAATGTCCGTGGACGTTGAAATCAAGGAACTGCACCAAAATAAAATACTTCCAAAAGGCATCGGCGTCGATCCGTGCTTAATGAGGTGTAGCCTACAGGGTTGACTGAAATTGAATTTTATGAAAGCCTACCGTTTATAAAACACTTAAATAAGACGTTGACTCCGTGCTAACTGGGGGTGTAGCCTACCATGTCGGCTACAATGGAATGTGCCCACCCGTTGTAAAACAGGCCATTGCGTTGGCTTTATTAGTCCTGATTCCTGTGACTAATCAATTTGGCTATTTAAGCTCTGAATTTCAACTACCCAACTTTATCAGGAGTTATCTTGAGCCTATTTGCAATGTGTTTACACAGTAGGAAATGCAAAAGTATTTCATTTTTCGCTATGAACAGCTTGTCAAAAATGTACGAATACAAACATGACAGCGCATTTTTTATTTGATTGGGCGCCATTTAGGTTAGGCTATTTGATCGGAGAAACCTGCATGATGTAAAAAAAAAAAAGAGCTTTCTGCGGGAATTTGTACTCTTGCTGAGGTCTTCTGTCGCTAATTAGCATTTCTAATTTGAGAGTAAATTGATGCCAATATATTGATAAAACTCACCTTGTTTGAGAGAGAATTACACGGTTATCAAAACGTCACGCAAAGGCTACATCAAACTCACACTTAATTTGAAGTGTTTGTACAACTCACGATGTGAAAAATTAATGTCGGAAAAAACATTTACAACCATTTCCTTGTTTTACCGCTAGGTTTTATGGGTATTTTGACGCGTCTTCGTCTTCTTCTTCTTCAGTGGGGTTTATCGGCGGTTGGCGTCCAACGTTATGGCGCATTACCGCCACCTACTGTACTGGAGTGTGGGCCAGAGACAGGGAGAAACTTAATCCTACCTGCCAGCCCCGTTGCTCTTAAAAAAGATAACAAAATATTTGAGACTATGTCTAATGACGTTTTACTCAATATACTCTTTAAACTAATTTCCTATATCCCCTTCTCCCTCATACTAGATCTCATCCTCTCTCTTTCCCTCTGATACTGCCCACACTGTAGCAATACATGGTCTCTGTTTCCTGACAATAATCACACTTTCCTGTTGGATGCTTTCCTATCACATTTAATGTCTTAGGTATTTTGACGCGTCTACTGTGACAGACTATGAATCAGTTTGATGGAAACATCTCTGGTGGGAAAATGCGCATGTTATGTTATGCAGATTTTAGAATATTCGCATGAAAATCTGTCGCAAATTGAATGGAAACCTAGCTACAGGTTTTTTGTTGTTGTTGGTGGTGTAACGTCATTTCATCCAGCTGTTTTTATCGACACAAGATAGTTCAATGGAAATGCACTGCAGCAGACAGTTGCCGCATCTATTTTCTATATGATTTTTCTAAACGTCGACAAAAAAATCACTGGCCAAGTTAATGGAAACAGCTTATTTTGCATGAGGAAACCCAGAATCCTACTCATTAGGCTCCACGTGCTTAACCTATGTCACTTTTGTTTTGAGCGGACTTCGCCGTCGCCAGGGAGGCAGCCTGGTTCCAAAACGTATGCAATAATTTTTCACCTGGCGCAAACTCTGCCCACACTGGCAGCCCGGGCTATAGCTTAATCGAATCCTCTCAATATGGAGGTTTTCCAGGTGCAGTCAGTGGTCATGTTCCCCTGCTCAGACGTTGCATGCATCAACCAATGGTTGCGTGCCACGTCATCGACTGTGCCATCGGGTACTATATTGATAAAACCTATGATGTGGTTAGATGATATGTAAAATACCTATCCTGGCGTTGTAAGATCTAGCATGCGTCGGGCAACGTCTGAGCAGGGCAACACGACCCGTAGACTACTGTTAGACTGTGTGATCTACAACTCACCTTGCATCCTAAATAACTACTCATTATTATATATGGATACATTAATAAATTAATGCACGTCTCGTCATCTGCAGGACAATTTTGTTTTTAGATGTGTCTGTTTTTTTTGTCTGTATAACTTCCAAAAAGTGGAGAGAGGATATTACACTTTAGAGTCTACTTCTTCAGTGTACTAACTGAATACAATTTATAGACTTTAAGATATCCATAACAGTTACAGCTTCAAGCGCATAACTTGAAATTCGGAACAGTACTCGAATGCTTTGGAGGCTGTTCAATATTCTTGAACACGACACACACAGGAATCTGAATATCCCGCCTACGGAAGGCCTCAGTGGCCGGCGACCATTTGTTCCATCGACGCTACTGAACCCAGCCGTCTGATTGGCTTACAGAAGCAAAACTTGGAGAACTGGCGCGGGTTTTTGTATTTTATGCACTACGGGTGGCGGGAGATGAGGAGTTGGACTGGGAGACATTTGATTAGTAACTAGCTTTCTAGCTACTTTTGAGAATTAATGAAAGTAGCTTAATGTTTTGAGTTTATTTCTGTTTCTGAAGATCAAACTTGCTTTGCTTCGGGAGGAGAAGGACAATGGACGATTTTGGGGTCTACGTTGTTTTGGGAGTGAACGATGCACCCATAAAGCTTCTATGGTAAAGTATCTAGCTAAACGTGTAACGTGAGTTTGATGTATCTTATTCGATACTAGATGGCTATCTATCGTAAATGTATCGATTTTTCAACTTATTTGTCATATTGTGTTTATTAATCGAGAACATGAATGTGTGTAAACTAGCCTGCCTGCTACGAGTTGCATGTTTTTATAAATGCATTTAGCTAGCTATGCTATCACAATTCCATAGTCACGCATGATGCAACAGTCAAAGCTAGATTGTGGTATGGCTACCCCAACACATTATTTATTGTCAACGTGTAGGAAAATGCATGATATAATGTAGCCCAAGCGTCTATATTTTTTGTAATAGCTAAGTAGTTCATCTTCAACTCTCCTTTTACAGCGCCGACGGGTCAGCCCAGTTTTCCGTTGCAGTACCACCGAGTGCCCAGCAGGTGGTACTGTTTTCCAAGGGGCGATGGGGAGACAGGATCTGCGTCAACGCAGAACTCAACGACGCTGACAGAGTTCCAATCACCATTGGAAAACTGACACCTTATAACAGGTACGTTGCCATCTTTCCAGGGCCAGGACACGTTAAGAAAAACACAACGTTGAGGAACGTTTTAGATAGACATGTCATGAAGAACAAAAAAATGCCTCCCTGACATGTAGCACAACGAATCACATCAGCTCTTAGTGACGTTGCTATCTGAAAACGTTCCACAACATTTGCTTACTGAACGTGGCGCAGCTTGGTATGTTGTAGACAATTACAATGAAGGATATTGTTAGGGTGTCTCCCACAAAGGCACACACTGTCTGACTGACTTGTCCCTGGTAAAAGTGTATTTTGCATGTCTCCTAGACCAGTATTTCTCAATCCTGGTCCTGGGGGGAAAAAAACAGAAATGTGCACCCTTTGGGTCGCCAGGACCAGCATTGAGAACCACTGTCTTAGACGGCAGGACCAGCATTGAGAACCACTGTCTTAGACGGTAATAATAGGATGTAAAATGGTGTAGTGTGATCGTCACATTATCTTGTCCCTGGTTTAGGTGTTTAACATGGGAGCAGTGGGAAGAGGATAGCTGGACTAAGGGAGTGACTTTAACTGCCAGCTTGGAAGGAGGACGCCTGGTGAGTGGATTGGTGGACAGATGGGACAGAGGAACAATTGAACGACTTGACTAAACATTCCAAAATGTTACAGTGGAACATCAAATGGCTTCTTTTTGTAAGGGTTACTGTGGCTTTTAGCGACTATTCAAACAAAAAATGACTTAGCAATTCCTACTAAATATAATGAACAAAGATACAGTGAGGGGGGGGGAAAAAGTATTTGATCCCCTGCTGATTTTGTATGTTTGCCCACTGACAAATAAATTATCAGTCTATAATTTTAATGGTAGGTTTATTTGAACAGTAAGACAGAATAAAAACAAAAAAATCCAGAAAAATGCATGTCAAAATTTTATAAATTTGACCCCCTCTCAATCAGAAAGATTTCTGGCTCCCAGGTGTCTTTTATACAGGTAATGAGCTGAGATTAGGAGCACACTCTTAAAGGGAGTGCTCCTAATCTCAGCTTGTTACCTGTATAAAAGACACCTGTCCACAGAAGCAATCAATCAATCAGATTCCAAACTGTCCACCATGGCCAAGACCAAAGAGCTCTCCAAGGATGTCAGGGACAAGATTATAGACCTACACAAGGCTGGAATGGGCTACAAGACCATCGCCAAGCAGCTTGGTGAGAAGGTGACAACAGTTGGTGCGATTATTCGCAAATGAAAGAAACACAAAATAACTGTCAATCTCCCTCGGCCTTGGGCTCCATGCAAGATCTCACCTCGTGGAGTTGCAATGATCATGAGAACGGTGAGGAATCAGCCCAGAACTACACGGGAGGATCTTGTCAATGATCTCAAGGCAGCTGGGAGCATAGTCACCAAGAAAACAATTGGTAACACACTACGCCGTGAAGGACTGAAATCCTGCAGCGCCCGCAAGGTCCCCCTGCTCAAGAAAGCATATATACAGGCCCGTCTGAAGTTTGCCAATGAACATCTGAATGATTAAGAGGAGAACTGGGTGAAAGTGTTGTGGTCAGATGAGACCAAAATTGAGCTCTTTGGCATTAACTCAACTTGCCGTGTTTGGAGGAGGAGGAATGCTGCCTATGACCCCAAGAACACCATCCCCACCGTCAAACATGGAGGTGGAAACATTATGCTTTGGGGGTGTTTTTCTGCTAAGGGGACAGGACAACTTCACTGCATCAAAGGGACGATGGATGGGGCCATGTACCGTCAAATCTTGGATGAGAACCTCCTTCCCTCAGCCAGGGCATTGTGGATGGGTATTCCAGCATGACAATGACCCAAAACATACGGCCAAGGCAACAAAGGAGTGGCTCAAGAAGAAGCACATTAAGGTCCTGGAGTGGCCTAGCCAGTCTCCAGACATTAATCCCATAGAAAATCAGTGGAGGGAGCTGAAGGTTCGAGTTGCCAAACGTCAGCCTCGAAACCTTAATGACTTGGAGAAGATCTGCAAAGAGGAGTGGGACAAAATCCCTCCTGAGATGTGTGCAAACCTGGTGGCCAACTACAAGAAACGTCTGACCTCTGTGATTGCCAACAAGGGTTTTGCCACCAAGTACTAAGTCATGTTTTGCAGAGGGGTCACATACTTATTTCCCTCATTAAAATGCAAATCATTTTATAACATTTTTGACATGTGTTTTTCTGGATTTTGTTTTTGTTATTCTGTCTCTCACTGTTCAAATAAACCTACCATTAAAATTATAGACTGATAATTTCTTTGTCAGTGGGCAAACGTACAAAATCAGCAGGGGATGAAATACTTTTTTCCCTCACTGTATAAACGCAACGTGAAACAATTTCAAAGATTTTACTGAGTTACAGTTCATAGAAGGAAATCAGTCAATTGAAATAAATTCATTAGGCCCTAATCTGTGGATTTCACATGACTTGGCAGGGGCACAGCCATGGGTGGGCCTGGGAGGGCATAGGCCCACCCACACGGGAGCCAGGCCCAGCCAATCAGAATTAGTTTTTCCCCACAAGGGCTTTATTACAGACAGAAATACTCCTCAGCACCCCCCTCAGCTGATCCCGCAGGTGAAGAAGCCAGATGTCGAAGTCCTGGGCTGGCGTGGTTACACGTGGTCTGCGGTTGTGAGACCAGTTGGATGTACTGCCAAATTCTCTAAAACGACGTTGGAGGCAGTTTATGGTAGAGAAATGAACACTAAATTCTCTGGCAACAGCTCTAGTGCACATTCCTGCAGTCAGCATGCCAATTACACACTCCTGCAAATTGAGACATCTGTGGCATTGTGTTGTGACACAACTGCACATTTGTGGCCTTTTTATTGTCCCCAGCACAAAGTTAACCGGTGTAATTATATCTTGATATGCCACACCTGTCAGGTGGATGGATTATCTTGGCAAAGCAGAAATGCTCACTAATACATTTCTCTGATCTTTTTCATTTCAGGTCATGAAACATGGGACCAACACTTTACTACATGTTGCGTTTTATATTTTTGTTCAGTGTAGAAAGTCTACATCCAGTTGATTTTATTTTTAGCGGCGGTTTAGACCCGAAACAGACACTTACGTTCGCCGCACACTACCTTCTCAGACTGTTCGCTAACGTTAACAAATGGTCGCAGCTAACAAAAAAAACGAATGGAATATGTTCACAAACGTTTCCCCTTGTTGAACGCCCCCCTCTGGGGAATACTGCCTAAACAACTATGGTATCTATAGAGCTGGAGAAAAGAGGGATAGATGGATGGTTCGATATAGATCAAACATTCATGTTTCTTATAGACTGGCAGGAATACCATCTCTAAACCAGAGCATGTAGATATACAGGAGTATGTATTACATTTCAGACGACCCGAATGACGATGGACTTGACTCTGTTTGTGCTACAGGTCAAAGGGGATAGTATGGACTCTGACCTCATCCTGTCCATTAAGGAATACACCCCAGAGGTGAGATCAACACGCCTGGCTCGTCACACAGTCTTCTAGAGCAGTGTTTCTTAAAGGGTACACGTTGTAGTTGTAACAATGGGCTTATCTCTTTTTTGAATTTAAAGATGGCTTCCTCTCCTTTCCCCAACATGGGGCACTTTCCCTAGAGCAGTTTCTTAACTGCTGCCCATTTTAGTTGTTGCCCTAGAACTAACACACCCCATTCCACTAATTAAAGGTTTGATGACGAGTTGATTTAGTGGAATAAGGTGTGTAGTGCTAGGGCAAAAACTAAAATGGGCAGCCCTTTGGGAAGCAGTTAAGAAACTGCTCTAGGGAAAGTGCCCCATGTTGGGGAAAGGAGAGGAAGCCATCTTTAAATTCAAAAGAGATAAGCCCATTTGTTACTTTAGAACCTCATCATTCTAATAAATGATGCCACTCAAAAGCCGGAGTCAGTATTGCACGAAGTAGATGGCAATATCGGGCTGACATCCGCAACAATGAAGAATGTCTTGCACTGCACTCCTCTGCACTATCTACAGTTCTTCCTGCTTGTGGCCATGTCATTGCTGAGTCTGTTTAACTTCTTCCATTCTCCCTCTCTCCTTCCTCTCTCCTCTTCTATTGCAGAGCGCCGTGGCCCATTCCCCTGTTAGGGAGGTGAAGAGGAAGAGGGGACAAACGGGGGAAGAAGAAGAGGAGCGAGGAAAGGAGAACATGTGTCCCAACGAAGTGGTGTCGTCATTTTCAGAGAAGTCGACCCCCCTCAGAAAGGTCAGAGGTCAGACCAGAGGGGGTCAGACCAGACTGTTCCCCCAGGGCGAGGGGCAGGGGGCCGCGGCTCTCACCCCTCAGAACATTCCTCCACAGAGGGGCAAGGGTAGACGGGCCAAGACACCCATTACACAGACTGGTGAGTTAATGTGTAGGTAGAAAGGCCACATTGTTGTGTGTAGACTTCCAACCAGTGTATTGACCCCACCGCCTCATCGATGCAGCCCCATTGGTCAACCCGTCGGGTCGCTGGGGTCAGAGCTTGTGCCCCATCGACCCCCAGACGGCCATTCTGATTGGAGGGCAGGGATCCAGGATGCAGTTCTGCAAGGACCCCATGTGGAAGCTGTGCACTGGTGGGTTTACCTTAATACATGGTGTATAGCCTCACCTCAATACCAATAACAGACCTGTAATAGATGGGATATAGCCCCCCTCTCAATACCAATAAGACATCATAAATGGTACAGTGCCTTCAGAAAGTATTCACACCCCTTTTACTATTTCCACATTTTGTTGTTACAGCCTGAATTTAAATGTCATTACATTTAGATGTTTGTCACTGATCTACACACAATATCCCCATAATAACAAAGTGGAATTTAGTTGTTTACACATTTTTACAAATTAATGAAAAGCTGAAATGTCTTGTCAATAAGTATTCAACCCCTTTTGTTATGGCATGCCTAAATAAGTTAGAGTAAAAAATGTGCTTAACAAGTTGCACACGGACTCACTCTGTGTTCAATAATAGTGTTTAACATGATATTTGAAAGACTACCTCATCTCTGTACCCCCACACATACAATTATCTGTAAGATCCCTCAGTCGAGTAGTGAATTTCAAGCACAGATTCAAGCACAAAGACCAGGGAGGTTTTCCAATGCCTCGTAAAAGAAGGGCACCGATTGGTAGATGGGTGAAAATAAAAAGCAGACATTGGATATCCATTTGACGGGGAAGTTATTATTTACACTCTGGATGGTGAGGAGGAAGGAAACCGCTCAGGAATTTCACGATGAGACCAATGGGGACTTTAAAACAGAGTTTAATGGCTGTGATAGGAGAAAACTGAGGATGGATCAACAACATTGTAGTTACTCCCACAATAATATAACCTAAATGACAGAGTGAACAGAAGGAAGCCTGTACAGAATACAAAATATTCAAAAACATGCATCCTGTTTGCAATAAGGCACTTAAGTAATGTGACAAAGAAATTAACTTTTTGTCCAGAATACAAAAGCGTTATGTTTGAGGAAAATCCCACACAATACATCACTGAGTACCAGAAGGAAACCTGGTTCAGTCTGCTTTCCAACAAACACTGGGAGACGAATTCACCTTTTATCAGGACAATAACCTAAAACATGAGGCCAAATATACACTGGAGTTGCTTACCAAGACGACACTGAATGTCCCAGAGCGGCCTAGTAACAGTTTTGAATTAAATCGGCTTGAAAATCTATAGCAAGACTTGAAAATGGCTGTCTAGCAATGATCAACAACCAACTTGACAGCGCTTGAAGTTTTTAAAAAAAGAATAATGGACAAATATTGTGCAAAGATCTTAGACTTACCCAGAAATACTCACAGCTGTAATCGCTGCCAAAGGTGATTCTAACATGTTTTGACTTGGGTGGTTGAATACTTATCTATTCATTTACATTTTCGTCATTTAGCAGACACTCTTATCCAGAGCGACTTACAAATTGGTGCATTCACATTATAATAGCCAGTGGGACAACCACTTTACTTTTTTTGGGGGGGGTGGGGTAAGGGGGGGGTAGAAGGATTACTTTATCCTATCCCAGGTATTCCTTAAAGAGGTGGGGTTTCAATTGTCTCCGGAAGGTGGTGAGTAACTCCGCTGTCCTGGCGTCGTGAGGGAGCTTGTTCCACCATTGGGGTGCCAGAGCAGCGAACAGTTTTGACTGGGCTGAGCGGGAACTGTGCTTCCGCAGAGGTAGGGGGGCCAGCAGGCCAGAGGTGGATGAACGCAATGCCCTCGTTTGGGTGTAGGGACAGATCAGAGCCTGAAGGTACGGCGGTGCCGTTCCCCTCACAGCTCCGTAGGCAAGCACCATGGTCTTGTAGCAGATGCGAGCTTCAACTGGAAGCCAGTGGAGTGTGCGGAGGAGCAGGGTGACGTGAGAGAACTTGGGAAGGTTGAACACCAGACGGGCTGCGGCATTCTGGATGAGTTGTAGGGGTTTAATGGCACAGGCAGGGAGCCCAGCCAACAGCGAGTTGCAGTAATCCAGACGGGAGATGACAAGTGCCTGGATTAGGACCTGTGCCGCTTCCTGTGTAAGGCAGGGTCGTACTCTGTGAATGTTGTAGAGCATGAACCTGCAGGATCGGGTCACCGCTTTGATGTTAGCAGAGAACGACAGGGTGTTGTCCAGGGTCACGCCAAGGCTCTTTGCACTCTGGGAGGAGGACACAACGTGATGTTGTCAACCGTGATGGCGAGATCATGGAACGGGCAGTCCTTCCTCGGGAGGAAGAGCAGCTCCGTCTTGCCGAGGTTCAGCTTGAGGTGGTGATCCGTCATCCACACTGATATGTCTGCCAGACATGCAGAGATGCAATTCGCCACCTGGTTATCAGAAGGGGGGAAAGGAGAAGATTAATTGTGTGTTGTCTGCGTAGCAATGATAGGAGAGGCCATGTGAGGATATGACAGAGCCAAGTGACTTGGTGTATAGCGAGAATAGGAGAGGGCCTAGAACTGAGCCCTGGGGGACACCAGTGGTGAGAGCACGTGGTGCGGAGACAGATTCTCGCCACGCCACCTGGTAGGAACGACCTGTCAGGTAGGACACAATCCAAGAGTGAGCCGCGCCGGAGATGCCCAACTCGAAGAGGGTGGAGAGGAGGATCTGATGGTTCACAGTATCAAAGGCAGCAGATAGGTCTAGAAGGACGAGAGCAGAGGAGAGAGAGTTAGCTTTAGCAGTGCGGAGAGCCTCCGTGACACAGAGAAGAGCAGTCTCAGTTGAATGACCAGTCCTGAAACCTGACTGGTTTGGATCAAGAAGGTCATTCTGAGAGAGATAGCAAGAGAGTTGGCTAAAGACGGCACGCTCAATAGTTTTGGAGAGAAAAGAAAGAAGGGATACTGGTCTGTAGTTGTTGACATCGGAGGGATCGAGTGTAGGTTTTTTGAGAAGGGGTGCAACTCTCGCTCTCTTGAAGACGGAAGGGACATAGCCAGCGGTCAAGGATGAGTTGATTAGCGAGGTGAGGTAAGGGAGAAGGTCTCCGGAAATGGTCTGGAGAAAAGAGGAGGGGATAGGGTCAAGCGGGCAGGTTGTTGGGCGGCCGGCCGTCACAAGTCGCAAGATTTCATCTGGAGAGAGAGGGGAGACAGAAGTCAAAGCATAGGGTAGGGCAGTGTGAGCAGGACCAGCGGTGTCATTTGACTTAACAAACGAGGATTGGATGTCGTCAACCTTCTTTTCAAAATGGTTGACGGAGTCATCCACAGAGAGGGAGGAGGGGGGGGGGGGGGGGGATTCAGCAGGGAGGAGAAGGTGGCAAAGAGCTTCCTAGGGTTAGAGGCAGATGCTTGGAATTTAGAGTGGTAGAAAGTGGCTTTAGCAGCAGAAACGGAGGAAGAAAATGTAGAGAGGAGGGAGTGAAAAGATGCCAGGTCCGCAGGGAGTCTAGTTTTCCTCCATTTCCGCTCGGCTGCCCGGAGCCCTGTTCTGTGAGCTCGCAATGAGTCGTCAAGCCACGGAGCAGGAGGGGAGGACCGAGCCGGCCGGGAGGATAGGGGACATAGAGAGTCAAAGGATGCAGAAAGGGAGGAGAGGAGGGTTGAGGAGGCAGAATCAGGAGATTGGAGGGAGAAGATTTGAGCAGAGGGAAGAGATGATAGGATGGAAGAGGAGAGAGTAGCGGGAGAGAGAGAGAGCGAAGGTTGCGACGGCGCATTACCATCTGAGTAGGGGCAGAGTGAGTAGTGTTGGAGGAGAGCGAGAGAGAAAAGGATACAAAGTAGTGGTCGGAGACTTGGAGGAGAGTTGCAGTGAGATTAGTAGAACAACAGCATCTAGTAAAGATGAGGTCAAGCGTATTGCCTGCCTTGTGAGTAGTGGGGGAAGGTGAACGGGTGAGGTCAAAAGAGGAGAGGAGTTGAAAGAATGAGGCAGAGAGAAATGAGTCAAAGGTAGACGTAGGGAGGTTAAAGTCACCCAGAACTGTGAGGGGTGAGCCGTCCTCAGGAAAGGAACTTATCAAGGCGTCAAGCTCATTGATGAACTCTCCAAGGGAACCTGGAGGGCGATAAATGATATATTAGTGTTTTATTTATCATTGTATTTTTTTTAATGTTTTGTGTAGATTGTTGACAGAAAATGACAATTAAATCCATTTTAATCCCACTTCGTAACACAACAAAATGTGGAAAATGTCAAGGGATGTGAATACTTTCTGAATGCACTGTAGCTAACTTTGGATCTTTGTTTTAATTGGTTCACGACACCCTCACTTCCTTGTTTGTCGACCCTTCAGAGGACATGTCATGGGTTCCCGCGGAGACGCTTGCAGAAGGCCCCACCCCCGAGGCCCGGATTGGCCATACTGCAACCTATGACCCTGATTCCAAAAGAATCTTTGTGTTCGGAGGTTCTAAGAACAAAAAGTGGTTCAACGACGTTCACATCCTGGATACACAGAGCTGGAAGTGGAGCACCGTGGAGGTGAGAGACTAAACACACACCTAATAACCCAGGACTGGATAGCTGTAAGCATCTATCTGTGCAAATGTAATAACATGAATGCTCTTTCTCCCCTCATCCCCCTCTCTCTCTCTCTCACTTCCTCCCTCCCTCTCTCTCCATCTTCCTCCATCCCTCTCCTCTCCAGGCCCAGGGAAAAGTACCTCCGTTAACCTATCACAGCTGCAGCATGTTTCGAGGTGAACTATTTGTCCTGGGAGGGGTGTTCCCTCGCCCTCACCCTGAACCCGACGGCTGCAGTGACTCCCTCTACATCTTCGACCCACATCTCTCCATTTGGTACCAGCCCATCGTCACGGGCGACAGGCCCGCCCCCCGCTCAGGGTGAGATGGACCGATCCAAACCACAAGCTTCAGACCATAGTTAGAAAGAGGACTCTGATTCACACTCACTAGTCCACATGGGTAGCCTGGGGGCAGATCTGTTTGGGCTCTTGCCTCCTTCGCTCCCTTGTTTTCCCTCTCCCTCCTCCTCACTCTTCTATGTCGCTTGCTCTCTTTCTCTCTCCGTCCTCCTCACTCCTCTCTCTCTCTCGCTCTCTCTCTCTCAGTTCAATTCAATTAAAGGTCTTTATTGGCATGGGAAACATATGTTAACATTGCCAAAGCAAGTGAAATAGATAATAAACTAAAGTGAAATAAACAATAAAAAATGAACAGTAAACATTACACTCACAAAAGTTCCAAAAGAATAAAGACATCTCAAGTGTCATATTATGTCTATATACAGTTTTGTACCACCACCTCCTCACTCTTCTGTCTCCGTGTCCCTCTCTCTCTCCCCGTCTCCAGTCACTCTGCCTGTGTTATCCAAGGGAAGATCTATGTGTTTGGAGGCTGGGACACTCCCCTCTGCTTCAACGACATGTACATGCTTGACCTGGGTAAGACACACACACACACACACAGGCTTGTTTGTCCAGTAGGTCTATGTGTGGTGAGACTTCCACCTAACGGCCATTTTGTTTACTCTTCATGGCTCTCTCCAGCTTGCCTGAGGATCTGCAATATAATTGGCCAGTTAGTTATTAGAGGGACGGCATTGGAGGACTGACATTTAAATGAGATCGTCTTTGTTTATTTATTCTTGTTTTAGTCATTATGTATGTTGTTTATTGCTTTATGGATCCCAGCACTCCCTGGAAAACAGTGGCAAGTGTTGCTGAGTGGACTATCCTGACTAAATACATTTAAATGAATGGACTGTTTTCAGGACTGATGGAGTTTTCGTCTGTTCAGACCAATGGATCACCCCCCTCTCCTCGCAGGTAGGACTAAAGGCTATAATAACTAATGCAGCTTACAGAAACACACACACACACACACACACAGTTTAAAGACTCAATGAATCTCTCATACTTTAGACGGCCATCTTTTATCCATCCCTTTAAGGTAAGTTGAACGTTTTATCCCAGAAAGTGCCATTGAATTTCTCCTTTTTATATAAGGGAGAACCTGTGATCGATATAATGCTTTGTCTGTCTTCAGAAATGTTTCTGCTTTTTGATACTGCTGCTCCCTAGTATTAAAAGTGTTCCAGAGCAGAACATATTTAACACGGTTCCAGAGCAGAACATATTTAACACGGTTCCAGAGCAGAACATATTTAACACGGTTCCAGAGCAGAACATATTTAACACGGTTCCAGAGCAGAACATATGACCAGGAAGTGTTTGTTTACAGCTGGCATGGTTGTGTGCTGCTCTCTGACTCTACGTTTCTGGTCCACGGAGGATACAATGGAAACCAGGCCCTCAACGACACCTTTACCTTCAACACAGGTCAGACACACACACACACCCTGCTTCTCTACACACACACACACACACACACCCTGCTTCTCTACACACACACACACACACACACCCTGCTTCTCTACACACACACACACACACACACACACCCTGCTTCTCTACACACACACACCCTGCTTCTCTACACACACACCCTGCTTCTCTACACACACACACACACCCTGCTTCTCTACACACACACACACACTGCTTCTCTGCACACACACCCGCTTCAAGAACCAGGTCCTGACCTCTGTGTGTTCCAGACACCAACACCTGGACTGAGCTGGTTCACCCACAGCTCTCCGTGCCCAGAGCTGGACATTCCATCATCACAATGGCGCTAGCCAATCAAAACCTTTCATTCGAGGATGACTGCAACGACCGGAACTCCGACCGCACCCACAAAACCCTGCTGGTATTTGGAGGGGGCGACAACGAGGGAAACTTCTATTCCGACCTGACGACCCTGACTGTCGCTAAACTGCTGGACCAGAACTAATGCTGTGTTCATAACCAAGTGGGAATTTACCACGTACAACTGGGGGAAAAATCCACTTGAATGCCCCTCCAACTGGTCATTACTGATGGGAAACCTGTATATTATCCCTGAGCTCTGACTTCTCCCACAAGCTGACCTCTGACCTCCAGTAAGGAAATGACCCCAATAACAGCATTTTCGGCAGCTAAATGCAACAACAAACCATTATTTAGAAAAAGCTATCTATTAATGTTTTTTGAGCACTATAATTTGTTTTGCGAGCATAATAGCAGTACTTATAGTTTATGGTTGAAGCAGCTTGTTTGCCATTAGCCAATCGGCATTTCTCAACAAGTTCAAAGCACGTGAATAAATCCAACAGGAATTTACTATTTCACAACTGGTAATTACCACCTTCCCACTTGGTTATGAACACCGCATAAACCACATGAGTGGAGTCTCAAACGGCACCCAATTCCCTAATATAGTGCACTACTTTTGACCAGGGCTCTGGCCCCATACACAGCCTTATGGGTGTATTAGAGGAATCTCACAGATCTGCTGTTCAGTCTGTTGATGTTTTCACGTCATTAGAAACAAAGTCCTGGTCGTTTGTTTTCAAATGTCTCTCAGGGTGATGAGAGAATGGTCAGACTGATGTTATTGATATATTAAAACATGTATACTTTCCAGGAAATATCTCTTTCTGTAGGGCTCTGGTCAAAAGTAGTGCACTATGTAGGGAATGTGTTGTCATTTGGGACTCAAACCACATGTCTGGGTTGTGTTCATCAGTGCACACTGTAGCAAAACTGTTTTCAACTGAAAAATGTTTTTGGTTAGACTAGAGGTGTGATGTAGCTTATGTTGCATGTGTACGAGTGGGGTTTTTATATTTTTAGATGGTCATCAACCATAGTGGAATTACACTAAAGCATCATTTGTAGCCGGTTGCCAGTCAGTTTCTGCTCACTTGCCAATTCAATTCCATATGGACTTGGTATTTGAACTCAATCGGATTGGAAACCAGTTGTACATTATGTTGTTGACCCTTCTATAAAAAAAAAAAAAATGTTTTAAGACTTGGTCATAGAAATAAATAATTGTGTTTTTGCCTACTTTCAAAAAAAATAAAAGAAATTGATGAAGCTACTCAAGTTCTGGGTCTCAAGTACACACACGTTCTAATTAGAGCCTGACTGATTCCTATCAGCGGATATTCCCCTCCCTCCCCCAGTCGTGGTTCAAGCGGGCATGTTCGCTCGGTCGTCACTTGTTACCACAGCCACAAAGTCATAATTCTGGCAAGGAATCGAGGAAAGATGAATTGAGAAAGTCTGTTTGGAGACATACCTTCGCTATGGGTGGGTAGGTAGCTATATGAAAGTTGTGCTATCTTAGCTATGGGTAGGTAGCTATATGAAAGTTGTGCTATCTTAGCTATGGGTAGGTAGCTATATGAAAGTTGTATCTGTATTTTGAAGAGAACCGACTGCAGTCGACTTCATTATAAATTAGACTTCAATTATTGGTATACAGTCAAACAAAGCACTGAAAAAGGAAAGTTTCCTTACAAGCCAGAATGTTGAATAAAATGACATATGGACTTACTGTACCGGTTATCTGTGCGGTTGGTCCTTCAGATGGTTGAAATTTGAAACAATCTACAGGCAAGTATTGTTTACCCGACTTTAGAGTGCTGGTACTGAAGTTGACATGTGCAAAACCATGTAAAAACACCTGCAAGACATCGGTTGGTATGCATGGTTCGCAGAGTAAGTTCAAGTATAATTTTATTCAACATTCATGACAGACCTGGGATGTTAAGGTTTATTTCTATGTAAATGCGTGGCGTTGCCTACACAATTGAAGGCATCGCTACATTTCGTGACTATTCAGGTAGCAGCTGTATCCAACACCTGTACAGTGTACACTTTCCGTAATGTACCGAGTTTACCCGAAATCAGAGAGCGCTCGGTCGTGGTCCAAGCGGCCATGTTCGCTCGGTCGTCACTTGTTACCACAGCCACAAAGTCATAATTCTGGCTAAACCCCGCCCATTTCTACAATTAATATTCTTAAAATCATAGTTTAAGCCTAACCTTAACCATAGCCTGAACCACACTGCTAACCTTGTGATTAACCCTAACCTTAAATTACGACCAAAAAGCAAATGTTTGTTATACGTTAGCATAGCATTTTTTTTTTTACATTGTGGCTGTGGTAACTAGTAACAACCTGTTCGCTCGGGCTTTTTCCGGTATCGGGCTCGATCGTGCGCATAGGCTCCATTTGCAAGTGTCACTCGGGCGCAGCTCACTCGCACGTTCGTTGACACGCACCCCCCGAGAGAGAGAAAAGGCAAAAACCCTGTTGCCAATGTAATGGATTTTACAACTTGAGTATTTCTTCAGTCGCTCTCACGGAAATAAACACCGTATGCAAAGACCGGACATCGCGGGGCTGCAGTGCAGCATTTGGAAACGACCTTACTCGAATCACGCAATCGGGATGACTGGAAGCGATTTCCGTGGATTTAAAATTTTGTAGATTCTTCAGTTGCTAGCTAGCTGGCTCCAGCCCGAAAGCACGCATCCATAATTACAACGTTACATGGGCTAATCAACCGTTTTGATTTCCTTGCTAGCCAGCTAGCTAGCACACTAACGTTTGTTAGCTACTTTTATTAGGCAAGGTGGTGGTGTGTTATTTACCCGGGTATTGGAGAATAACGTCGTGTGTCAATTTTTTTTATCAACGCTGGCTAGCTAGCCGGAAAGCTTTTTAAAATTATATATATATACGTCAACGAAGGTCAGGGTTCGAGCGGGGGGCTAACTTGGCCTGAAATTGAAGTCCTCGGATGTTATTTTAACACTTCCATAACATAACGTTACCTGTGAGATTTTAGCTAGGTTTTCCTTCAATGACAACTAACGTAACTAACTAGTTTATTAGCTAGCTGACTTTAGCCATGACACTGTACTGATAACGTTAGCTTAGAATGTGTGCTTCCTCAAACCTAGCCGCTACTTGCCAACGTTAATGTGCTTTTTTTGGACTTCGTATTTTATTAACGCGAACTAGCTAGCGAACTGTAGCTAGCTAGACAACTCATATAGCTAATGGTGGTGACTAGCCATCTGAGACATATTTGCTGGCTAATTGGCTAGCTAGAAACCTAGCTAAATTGTGTTGCCGGCATAAATAGCACTAGTACTACCCAGTTAGTTCACACTAACTGTGGATCCCCCTATTTACCCCCCCCGTGTTGACATGGGACACATACTTGTACGCTAGCTGTCTGGCTAGCTAATTTAGCGGCTAATGAAGGAATCAACTTGTTGATCACACAGGCGGTGTAACTAACAGTTTGCTAGCTCTGGCTAGCGACTTCACTTTTTCCAACGGACGCACGGCGGTTTTACCACTGCTTGCTAAATGAACACAAGATCCTGAAACTATTTGTATTCGTCTTCCCCTCTACCCTTATTTTCTACAACATCCCTGAAAATGTCGGCCAGGACGCCATTGTTGTCCGTCATTGAAAAATCGTCAGGTGGCCAGGTAAGATTTTTTTGCTAGCTATTTACCTAGAACGATAATTGCTAGTTACCTAACTAAACTGTCTAACTAAATTGTTGTCTTGTAAACTAACGTTAACTAGAAAACTATCATGTCCAGCTAACGTCACCTACAGTAGCTTGCTTCTTTTCTTTTCCTTCCTTGGCAATGAACTGTGCGTGTGACCAGCACTTTGTGAGTGCAGTTCTGTAACTAGCCAAGCCAACTGGCATTGATTCAGACTATCTGATTGTTTTGGCTGTGTAAACTTGTTTTCTTTTACCATCAACTGGGCAATCAAACTAACTTGGCTTCCAACGCCTACACACTCACTCCGGTGTTTAGATTATGTCATGTATTTTCCTACCTAGCTACATTTTCTTTCTCCTTGTATCTTTGTCTCATATTGTCATTTCATGTACGTTTGTACAGGCACATAAATATAATAACAAGCTACATTATATATACAGCAGTATGTGGACACCCCTTCAGATTAGTGGATTCGGCTATTTTAGCCACACCCGTTGCTGACAGGTGTATAAAATCGAGCACACAGCCATGCAATCTCCATAGACAAACATTGGCAGTAGAATGGCCTTACCGAAGAGCTCTGACTTTCAATGTGGCACCATTATAGAATACCACCATTCCTACAAGTCTGTGTGTCAAATGTCAACCCTGCTAGAGCTGCCACAGTGAACTGTAAGTGCTGTTATTGTGAAGGGGATGTGTCTCGGAGCAACAACTACTCATCCGCAAAGTGTTAGGCCACACAAGCTCACAGAACTGGACCGCCGAGTGCTGGAGCACGTAACGCGTAAAAAACGTCTGTCCTCGGTTACAACACTCACTCTACCGAGTTCCAAACTGCCTCTGGACGCAACATCAACACAATAACTATTAGTCGGGAGCTTCATAAAATGGGTTTCCATGGTTCGGGCTAGGCACCTTGGTTCCAGTGAAGGGAAATCTTAACGCCACAGCATACAATGACATTTTAGACGATTCTGTGCTTCAACCTTTGTGGCAACAGTTTGGGGAAGGCCATTTCCTGTTTCAGCATGACAATATCCCCGTGCACAAAGCGAGGTCCATACAGAAATGGTTTGTCGAGATCGGTGTGGAAGAACTTGACTGGCCTGCACAGAGCCCCGACCTCAACCTCTCAAACATATTTGGGATTAATCTGAACGCAGAGATCAGTGCCCGACCTCACTAATGCTCTTGTGGCTGAATGGAAGCAAATCCCCGCAGCAATTTTCCAACATCTAGTGGAACGCCTTCTCAGAAAAGTGGAGGCTGTTATAGCAGCAAAGGGTGGACCAACTCCATATTAATGCCCATGATTTTGGAATGAGATCTTTGACGAGCAGGTGTCCACATGCTTTTGGTCATGTAGTGTATGTAATTCTAGTTTTATTGGTATGTCATCGTATTGTCTATTCCATATTGTTTGGATGAAACTGTTAATTGTTGGAAT